GTATTATACTAGTCATCTGCCTCAGTGATTCCTAGAAAATTAGTAAATAGTAAAAGCATATAACTAAGATTATTTAATCAAAATTTCATGTTTTGTAAAACGTCTGAAAAAAAAAATCTAAAAGAAATAAACAAAAGGCTAGAAACAAAAATACAAAATAAAAACGTAAAATTCTGGGAATCTGGCCTATCGGCGTAAGGGGGACGCCTGTGACTAGTATAACACACGAAACATTATGAAAACCAACCAACTATCACATACCACCGCTCGCAACCAAAATCCTGTAAGATTTACCTGATGCGAGTACCATCTGGCCCCCCACGCATCGTACACCGTGTATATATGTGGTAGCTGCCAAAGCGGGATGAGCATACGAGAAAAGAAACAAGTTCTGTTAATATTGATATGTAAATAGATTGGATTGGAATTATGCTTCATTTATACCTAAACATATCTAATTATCTTCAGTAATAAATGAGTACTTTATATCCACAGTACTTTACATTGAAAATTTCATCACTAATTAGCCGAGGGAAATGAGACACCAATACGCTGCTTGTCTGTTTATTTTCTTCTTAGTATCTTGCTACAAGTTCACCACCCTTGCACCAGCCACTAAGGATTCAGGCATAAACAGTGGTGAATTCCAAGTAAACCACATAGTACTAACCGTGACCTATGTTGACGGGTTCCGAGCAGTAAGGAGGCAAGACCAGATCTGCCGTTACTCCCAAAGTACCTGGAGGGGGGGGGGGGGTCTACGCCCCCTAGCCAGGGTATTGGCTAATGGGCCGACGACATGGATACCCGTGAGTGGCTGCCTTGTCACGATTTATGACGACAGGGCAAACCACTACCATGACGTCACTAGCAGACGCCATCCAGTTGTATTGCAAAAACTGGTCACAAGTATAACTCATTATGCGTGACACTATTCTCCTGGTGAGATAGTGTCCTCACACAAATTACTGGGCAAACATCTACGTGTACGTAGCTAAGTTCACGT